GATTACCGCCTGTATTTTCTCAGGGTTGGCCTCTATTCCCCTTTGGTCAATCAAAAATCCGAGAAACTTCCCAGACTCAACGCCAAAGACACACTTTTTTGGGTTTAGCATGACCTTGTGCCGCCTGAGTGTGGCGAACGTTTCTTAGAGATCAGCAAGGTGATCCCCCTGTTGTTTGGATTTTACTATCATGTCATCAATGTACGCCTCTATATTCCTTATGATTTGATTAATGAATACTGTATTAATCATTCGTTGGAAAGTAGCAGGCGCATTCTTTAAACCAAACGGCATCACCGTATAACAGAACAACCCCTGATCAGTGATGAATGCCGTCTTTTCTTGATCTCTTTTCCACAGGGGGATCTGATGGAAGCCTGAATAGGCGTCCATAAAACTCATCAGGGCATGTCCGGCTGTTGAGTCGACCAGACTGTCGATCTTAGGAAATGGATAACTATCCTTCGGACATGCCTTGTTGAGGTCCGTGTAGTCAACACACATCTGCCAAGTTCCATTCGGCTTTTTTACTAACACAACGTTAGCTACCCACTCAGGGAAATTGCACGACCGAATGAACTTGGCGTCCAGCAGCTTTTTAACTTCGGCGGCTGCCGCCTGACTTCTTTCCTCGCCATGGTTTCTTTTCTTTTACCGGATGGGCTTCTTTTTGGGATCCACGGCGAGTTTATGGACAGCGACATCCGGGCTGATGCCTGGCATCTCCTCCACTTCAAAGGCAAAGATGTCTTTGAATTCTCTCAGCAGCTGGTGAAGGCTTTCACCCATCTTTGCAAATGAAACCGTCCCCACCTTAACCGTCCGCTCTTGACGGCTGTCGTCTAGAGGGATATCAATGTGTTCACCAGCAGGCTGGGGACGGAGATCATCCGACCGTTCCCCGGTCAGTGATTGCTATTGCTTCTCTTTTTTTACCACCACCAACTGTTCAGTCTTTCTTTTCTTTCCGGCTGGTGGGGCCAACTGTTCTTCCTCGACATCGTCAAGGACGATCGTTTGCTTGCCCCGACCAGATTCTACGGCCGCGGGCTTGACGTCCGAGAGATAACACTCTCAAGCCGTCTTTTGGTCCCCACTGAGGGAACCGACTGTTCTATCATCCTTCTCATACTTGAGTAGCATGAGAGCAAGGATGATGACGGCCTTACACTCATTAAGGGTGGGTCGGCCAAAGATGAGGTTATAAGCTGTGAACTCTTCAACCACTAGAAAGCGGATGGTCATGTGCCGACCGTCCCCCCTGCTTCCCAGTCGGACTGGTAAGTCAATGCGTCCGACTGGGTGCACAAGTCCTCCCCCAAACCCAACAAGGGTATGGGAGACCTCCATTATGCTGTCCGGCTTGTATTTGAGATTGGACAAGCATTTGAGGCTGATGAGGTCTGAGGAGCTTCCTGTGTCAATCAGGATTCGACCAACCAGCTGGTTGGCCACTTTGCATTCAATGACCACAGGGTCATCATGCAGCCGGCGGACTTTGCCTCTGTCCTGCTCGGTGATGACAACTTTAGGGAAGGCGGATGTGCCTACCACCTCTCCTTCCTCAACAGAGTTTACCATTTTCCTCAGATGGTCCTTGGTGCCCCGAATGGTCGGGCCACCACCGACAAAGCCGCCTGCTATGGTGTATACCGGATCTTCATCAGTTTCGGCACTCATAGCAGGCTGGGGAGTCGTTTTCTTGGACTGCCCCGGATTTACCTTTGAAGTCACTTTGGACTTCACATAGGACTTCAGTTGTCCTTTGTCGGCCAGACGGTCAAGCTCCCGCTTGAGACTGAAGCAGTTGTGTCATGGCCGACATCCTCATGGAAATGGCAATGCTTGTTCTTGTTCCGATTTTCAGCGGAACCTTTCATAGGAGTCGGCTTCTCCAGAGTCAGCCGATCCTTAATTTCCAAGAGAATGGAGCAGCAATCCTTGTGGAATTCGTACCTTGGGACGTACAGTTTCCACTCTTTTTTCTTCTTCTGGCCGGTTGATCAGAATTATCAATGGCCCAGACTTGTTTTTCTTTTTGCTCTCTTTTGGCTTAGGAGTCGGCTGAGCAGGCCGACTCTCTTTCTGTCGGTCGGACTTCTTATGGTTCGACTGCTTATTGGTGGAGCAGAGTTCAGTCGCCTGTATATAGGCTTCCTTGAAAGCCGCCATTCCCAGGGGGCAATATCATCTCGACACGTGTCACCATTTGGAAGGTCCACGTAGGCGCCCCTTCCAGTGACATGTGTCATGCTCTGACTGGGCCACTTGGAAGGGTATAAAATACCCAAATCAAAGGCCATTGTCAATCGTATCAAACCGATGATGCCTCATCTCACCTCTTGCACTCAAACAAGTTTTGTTCCCGGAAGGCAAATCACGGATAATATCGTGATTGTTCAAGAGGTTCTACATACCATAAAGAATAAGCAAGGAGCTAAGGGTTTCATGGCTATTAAAATAGATTTCGAGAAGGCGTATGATAGGTTTCATTGGGAATTTATCCATGATACCCTTCTCGAAATTAAATTCCCTCCGGTTATTATTGAAGTTATTATGGAATGTATCTCGACATCTTCAATGAAAGTGTTATGGAATGGGGAGCCTACTTAATCTTTCAATCCCGGGAGAGGGGTTCGCCAAGGGGATCCATTGTCACCTTATTTATTCGTTCTTTGTATGGAGCGACTTAATCAAGTTATTGAGGACTCCATTATCAAGAATGAATGGAAGCCCATTCGAGCAAGTAGAAATGGTCTAATTTTGTCGAATTTATGTTTTGCAGACGACATAATTTTATTTGCCGAAGCAACTATCGAACAAGCCGTGATTATCCAGAAATGCTTGAATACTTTTTGTGCTGCTTCTGGTTCTAAGGTAAGCCATGCAAAATCTCGTGTTTTCTTTTCTCAAAATATGGACAGTGGCTCGAAAGCTGCTATTTCGAGTGTATTTAAAATGGACTCGACAGAGGATCTTGGTATGTACTTAGGAATGCCAACCATCACTAGTAGGGTAACAAGGGATACCTTTGCTTACTTATGCGAAAAGGTGGATAGGCGTTTATCGGGTTGGAAATCAAAATACTTGTCATTAGCAGGACGAATCACTCTAGCTAAATCCTCTATTGCGCCTATTAGCTCTTATGCTATGCAATCGGCCAAAATTCCAAGAACTATTTGTGATGATCTTGACAAAAAAATGCGTCGCTTCATTTGGGGTGGTAGTGATGAAAAAAGAAAAATACACTTAATTTCTTGGGAAACCTTACAACTTCCCAAGGAGCAGGGTGGCTTGGGGATGAGGTCTTCAAGAGATGTAAACGCTGCTTTCCTTACAAAATTGGGATGGAGGCTTCTTACCGAACCTCACTCCTTGTGGTCAAGTGTTTTGAGAGCAAAATATTGTAAAGGGAGGTGTGACTTGGACATGTTCGAAGCAAAGGCGAATATGTCGAATGTTTGGCGTGGAATCACTGAAAATGCAAAGATTGTGAGTAAAGGTGCTCGTGTTGCTATTGGTAATGGTTCTCGTACTTTATTTTGGGACCATCCTTGGGCTACCCGACTCCTCTCCGTGACTGTGCTATTGCTATAATCCCCAAGAGTTAGATGGTGCTACGGTGGAGGAAATGTGGGACACTACCACTGGTTGGAAATGGGAGCTATTTGCGGACTTAATCCCAGAAGATTCGATCCAAAAAGTCACAGCTCATCAAGTTAGGGAGGACCCTTCGATTGGTGACCTCTTATATTGGGGGGGGGGGGGAGTGCAAAGGGCAGATTTACAATTAAATCGGCCCTTAAAATTATCCGTGGTGACTTTGAAGCTCTTGATGATGGCAGTTGGGACTTGGTGTGGAAAATTCGTGTACAACAAAGAATTAAGGTACTCCTCTGGCTTGTGTTACATGATAGATTAATGCATAATGTTAATCGATTCAAGAGAGATTTGACCAATGATCCAAAGTACAAGGCATGTCCTGATCATGACGAAACTATGCTACACATTCTAAGAGACTGCAAGGTAGCTAGAGAAGTGTGGAGGCAGGTTGGTGGCCCGACAAATACTAACAATTTTCGCTCTGGCACTCTTAAGTCTTGGATTGTGCGCAACATCAAAGTGCAAGAAAGGAGTGATATGTCACCTGAAATTTGGCCAACTTATTTTGCCTTGGTAATATGGTGGCTGTGGAGATGGAGATGTAATGTGAGCTTTGATAAAGGTGATGAAAATCCCATAGATATCAAGAACTTCCTACTGGCAAGATTCGAAGAGACATGGAGAGCTTTGGGTGACTTTGAGCACAATTCAAATGCTGCTCCTAGCCATAGGGTTGAGGCTTTAGTCCGTTGGTTGGCTCCTCCAGTAGGGTGGCTTGTGCTCAACACAGATGGGTCAGCCAAGGGTGCACCAGGACCAGCTGGGGGTGGTCGACTGATCAGGGATTGCACGGGTAAGCTAGCATATGCCTTCTCTCTAAAGCTGGGACATTGCAATGCCTTTAAAGCTGAAGTTAAAGCTCTAGAATATGGACTAGAATTGGCAGCTAGGATGGGGCCAAGCAAACTGCAAATTCAACTAGACAACCTTGCCTTAGTGCAGACCTTGAGGAATGAAAACCAGTATGTTGGTGAAACGGTTCATAGCATCGCAAGGTGCAAGAAGATTTTAGAAGAGACTAATTGGCAATTTGAAGTTCATCATATCTACCGAGAAGCAAACAGAGCAGCAGATTGGCTAGCCAATCAAGGAGTCTCGCAGAACAACAATATAGTGTTGATTCAAGTCCCCCCTTTAGTTTTAGGGAATTTTACATGATGATGTCGTAGGTGTGGCTTTGTCACGTTTTATTCCCCCGTAGTTTTTTGTACTTTTGTTTTTTCCCAGGGCTTTGCCCCTCGTTTGCACCAAAACAAAAAAAAAGAAAGATAGTTGGTGGTTTTAAAAAAAAAAAAAAAACCCTCAAAATACAAGTGTTATTTTCACACGGCTAAGTTACCGAAAGTCCGAAACATAATTAGCAACCCTTTAAAATAAGATCTGCTCCGTCAGCAAGTGGGGTATATTTCATTATAATCACCGCACCTCAAAAACTCTTCCATCCCCACCCCTTCAATCTGACTGAAAAACTTGAAAAAAGTTTGAAATTCCAAAACCCCCAATTTGAATTTTCTCTCTCTACCGATCTCCTCCTCCAAAATCAAATCTCCCCCCATTAGGATTTCTCTCTCTCCTCACATTTCTGGATCTACTCTTTTTCTTCGATCTCTTCCACTTTGCTTTTTTCTTAGATTCGATTTCATTTTTTTTTTGTTTTAATTTGAAGAGGAAAGAAAGAAACTCAAATGGAGGCGATCGAAGAATTGTCGCAGCTTTCTGATGCGATGCGTCAAGCAGCGTCTGTGCTTGCTGACGAAGATGTGGATGATACTTCTGCTTCGGCATCGTCGTCTCGTCGGAACTCTACTTTCCTCAATGTTGTTGCGCTTGGCAATGTCGTAAGTTGCTATTCAATTTCTTCGATTTGCTGCTTTTGGCCTCGCTTTTTACTTGCTAAATGATTGAGATCTAGGCCCTGTTTGGTTTGATGTAAAATGTTTTCATAGAAAATGAATTTCCATTTTTTCCCATTTTCCTTTGTTTGGTTTGTTAAGAAGTGGAAAATAATTTTTCAAGGGTGAAAAATTCCATCCTTAATGATGGAAAACATTTTCCTTTTAAAAACAAAGGAAGCCACATTTTCCTCTCTCCTCCTTACCTCTTTTTTTTACTTCCCTCTCATTCATCCTTACATTTTCACTCTTATTTTTTATTTTTCTTGGACTTTTCTTGTATGCAACCAAACAAAGGAAAACTAATTTGTAATTGTGTTTTTCCTTGAAAATATGTTTTCCATGAAAACTAATTTTCCATTGAAAATGTTTTACATTAAACCAAACGGGGCCCTAGTTCTTGATTTGCCTTTTTGAATTCTGATTTGAAAATAGTGTGATTTTGATGAATTAATTGTCAGATTTTTAGATTTTTTGATGATATGATCTATGATGATGCTGACACTATGATTTCGTGACTGAATGCAAGATTTGAGATAGTGTAGGTGTTTATTGCATTATGCAGATTGGTTAAGGAGTAATTGGCTGTCTTTGATAGAGAATCGTAGTTATGCATTGCGTGCGTGCTTTATATCGTGTCGACTGCAAATCATTAGTAATGTATAGTAGGCGGCTTTATCGGCACTAGTGTTTATGATGCCACTTCTGTTAGCTGAACACGAGCTTCAGTTTAAAGTGATTCAGCTTATGATCAAAATTGCCTTCTCTTTTAATTCATCAGAGCACTCTCTATTCTCTATACTATAGAATTATAATGTGGTTTATGATTTTGTTTCTGAACCATGGATCCGCTCTGCTGCACTAACATAGGTGTCTATAATTTTCGGCATTGGTTATAAATAGCTTTTTTTGTTTTAATTTTTGTTTAATCCTTTTTCCATTGTTTAGAGCTAGAAATAAGAGAAATATCTGATTTAGAATTTCATTTTTAAAATAGGGTTATGATGAAATGAGGTGGAAAAGGCACATGTATGTATGAGTTTTTTTTCATGAACTACCTCCGTTTCATATTATGTGCAACATTTATTAAAAATGGGTGTTACACATTATGTCCAACAAATGCTTTCTATTCTTTTTAAGTTGTCATTTCTCTCCATCCCTCTTCTCATCACATACATATATATCTTTCTCTCCATCTAACACTAGCAAACAAATTTTGCCTAGGAGTTAGTGTAAATGCCTTTGTTGCACATATGAAACAAAGGTATTTTTATTTTGGCATTGTACAGAAGTATTTTAAAATATTCATCTGGATCAGCCAGTAAATAAGATGTTAATATTCCTCATAGAATGGATCATCTATGTTTCATCACTTAATTAATGCTGGTTTGCCCCTTTCCGCGAATTCGTATTCCTTCCCAAAGTTGATGGGCATTTCATGCTGATACGGCAGGAGATCATTGTAGGACTATTTAATCCTCATTAAAGGGACAAAGAACATTTGGTTGAGTGGTAGGTAGAAATTTGTATTTTTATCTTCATGATGGTCTGACTGCATCGTTCAAGCTCAGAAATTATTTGTAAAAATATAGATAATTGTAGCAAAGGTCTAATAAAAAGTGAGTGACTTAACATGCATAGTTGATTTTACATGATTATTTTGAAACACTGCATGCGTTTTATTTGAGGCATGATTAAACAATTTTATTGCTTCTAGCATTGAACGTGAACTTATGATATATGATGAAAATAAAGGAATCCATCACCTATTTGATTTGAATAACTAGCACTTGTTGCCTTAAGTTATTTATTTGTTCAATTGCATCACCATACTCTGGCTTCTACCACCTTATGTTATCACAAACTTTCACTAGTTCAGAATCATCTTCTTAAAACTCTAATAAAGTTTTTGCTTTTCACCTGCTTTAGTAGTTTTTTGATTCTACTCAAGCTGTTGCCTCTATAAGTGTGACTTGTTACAATATTTGCTATTTTGGGTCTCATGTTTTTCGAGATTCTAGAATTTTAGGCATATAAGCCTTAGATGCTGCCCTTAACATTAATGACAACTCGTTTTGCTCAATGGATTCCAAAAAGACCTCAAATTTAGTAAGGACTGAGTATTTTTGGACTTTAATTGAATGCTAATGATTCCTGTTAATTTTTAGTATTTTCCATTGAGTGTGAATGTTCCCGGAATGAGAAAATGAAATGAATGCGATAATTGAATTAGGAAACTCTGTATCAAGATTTCCATTTTATCTTTTTGCACTGTGTGATAGAATAAATAACTACTTCCTCCGTTTCTATTTAGTTGACGCATTTGATTTAGGCACATATATTAAGGATAGGAGAGAGAGTGAGAGAGAATGAAAAGGAAAGTGGGGTACCTTGTAAATGCAAGGTAAAAAAATTACCCCAAAAGGAAACGTGTCAACTAAAAAAAAACTTCCTAAAAAGGAATACGTGTCAACTAATAAGAAACAGAGGTAGTATTATATTTTTTTATTATTAATTACTTGTGAACCACCATATATTAGATGCTCTTTAATTATATTTTGCCAAGATCACACATGATGATTTTGATGTTAGTATCTTGATGGTTAAATAGTTAAAGTTTGTTGCTGGTTTTTCCCTTTTCTTTTGGGGTGTTCATTGAGTACAAAGTTTTTTCTTTTTATAATTTTCCAGGGTGCAGGTAAATCAGCAGTCTTGAATAGTCTGATTGGGCATCCTGTTTTGGTAAGAAATTTCAGTATTTATTTTTCCGCTCAAAACTAAATGCATGTTTGTTGTATTTTTTTTAATCTTTATTTATTTATTTTTGGATAGCCAACTGGTGAAAATGGAGCTACACGAGCTCCCATAAGCATTGAATTAAATAGAGATGGTTCTTTAAGCAGCAAATCCATTGTTTTGCAAATTGACAATAAAACTCAGCAGGTGTCTGCAAGTAAGGCTACTCAACCAAATGAAACCTGATTGCTTACTCTAACTTATGGTTTTAGTATACAAGTCATAATAATAAACAAAATTCTTGCAATTAACCTTTTTTTTTTTATTATTATTTTTTATTTTTTTACCATATTGGTTCTTAACAGGTGCTCTTAGGCATTCTCTTCAGGATAGGCTCAGCAAGGGCTCATCAGGAAAGACTCGTGATGAGATTTACTTGAAGCTGCGTACAAGTACAGGTTATGTTTACCTTTGGCCTCTTCTTCTGGTTGGTTTCGAATGTAGGCTACCAGCCTGGAATTGTTTTAGTATTTTAGTTTTCTGTTTCTTGGCTTTATTCCTTGTCAAATTTGTGAAGGTGAACTTTATTCATGTGGTAACAGGGGCCCTAAATTATAATATATCTTTTGGGCCTATGTTGCATGTTCAAGAGACTGGACTACTGAAGTACAGAGATAAGATAGTTTTGATGTCATGGAGATTGTCCTTTGGTTTTTTCTTGTTGGGCCTCTTTTTGACGATTTTGTATTTATTTGTTCAGCTCCACCTTTGAAATTGATTGATCTGCCTGGGTTGGATCAACGGATTGTGGACGATTCTATGGTGAGTTGTGTAATGTTTAAATTATGTGTTTGAGCCAATAATTAGTAGTACTATGCATCTTTTTCTAACTTGCTTGTTATTCTGTATTGGGTGAATGGCCTTAATCTCCTGATCTATCTTACATTAGGTCAGTGACTATGTGGCGCACAGCGATGCAATTTTGTTGGTGGTAATTCCTGCTTCTCAGGCACCAGAAGTATCTTCAGCAAGAGGTCTTAGACTTGCCAAGGAGCATGATGCAGAAGGCGAGTTTGAGAATAGTGCTGCATTAGACACTTTCCTTTTGTGTTGGTCTTTCCTTGTTATATAGCTCAGTCTTTCAAATTTTAATTGATTGTAGGAACGAGAACTATTGGTGTAATCAGCAAAATAGATCAAGCTGCGTCAGAGCCTAAAGCCCTTGCTGCTGTCCAGGCCTTGTTGTCAGGTCAGGGACCAAGAAGCACCGCTGATATGCCATGGGTTGCTTTAATTGGTCAGTCAGTGTCAATAGCTACCGCTTCTGGAACTGCTGGGTCTGAGAACTCCTTAGAAACTGCTTGGCGAGCTGAAACTGAGAGCCTTAAGTCTATCTTAACCGGGGCTCCCCAAGGCAAGCTTGGTAGAATAGCTTTGGTAGAATCTTTGGCTGCACAAATACGCAACCGTATGAAAGTCAGGCTTCCTAGTATTCTTTCTGGGTAAACTCTTTCAGCCATTGCTAATTGTCCTCTTTGTTAAGGAAACAAACTAGTTTCTTAATTTTCCAATACTAAGGGATCAGTTAAGTATAAAACATCCAAAAACAGAAAGTGAGTACAATATTTAGGAACTGAGGAAGTAAGTAAATATTTAAGTAGTTACAAAAGGGTGCTTTACCTCCTGAAAGTTGGCCTCTGTATGAGGGTAAAAAGCTAAGAAGGACTGTAGGCAGTTTTTTGTTGAATAATTTAGAAAGTTGATTATAGTGAGTACAAAGAGCAGTAAGTTATCAAAAAGCGCTCTTTAGAGCCGACTAGCAGTGGAGCAGTTCTATGCCTTAATTGACCCATTATTGTGTTTATTATTATCTACTTATTTATTTTTGTGGTTTATTAAATTTTATAGACTTCAAGGCAAGTCCCAGATAGTTCAGGATGAACTAGTGAAACTTGGTGAGTCAATGGTTTCTAGCCCTGAAGGTACGAGAGCTTTGGCACTGGAACTTTGTCGTGAATTTGAAGAAAAATTTTTGAGGCATGTCACTGGTGGTGAGGTATAATATAATTTTCATTATGCTGGAGTCAATTGTGTTGCATGACATCACCTCCCTTGGTATTTGATGTGTTGACACAATTTCTGACATAAATATTTGTTAGAGCTGCCTTCTAATTCAAACTGCGTTGTTATATTCTTAGGGCAATGGGTGGAAGATTGTTGCCAGTTTCGAGGGAAATTTTCCTAACAGGATAAAGCAGCTTCCATTGGAACGACACTTTGATATTAACAATGTCAAAAGGGTATTGCCCTTCACTTGAATTTGATTTACCAAAAAAGAAAAAAAAAATCTTTTAGTGTTTTAATATTGTGTAGAATTTAAATATATACTAATTTGTTTTCCTTCTATTATTTCTGTTCTATCAGATTGTTCTAGAAGCAGATGGTTACCAACCCTATCTTATATCTCCTGAAAAGGGGCTGAGATCTTTGATAAAGAGTGTCCTTGAAATGGCTAAAGAACCATCACGGCTTTGTGTTGATGAGGTGAACATGCTCATGAATATAATGTATTGTCTCATTAGTGCTAGGCAACATATACCTTGTTTACTTCAGTTTGCTTAGGATTCACTTTAGTTTGAGGTTTTCTATGTGAATTGTCATGCAATAATCCCCCCCCCCATCCGTTTATGTCCATCCTTCACTTAATTAACTGATTATTACTAGTTTGCCATCAGTTGGGTATGCCAAATTTCTTTCTCTTTCAACCTTTCCATTCTTTTTATTGATTCATTGGTAATATTTGTATTAAAAGGTGCATCATGTACTGGTGGATATTGTTTCTCAATCTGCAAATGCCACACCGGGTCTTGGAAGGTACCCACCATTTAAAAGAGAGGTAATGTGTGCCTTTTTGTTTTTATTATAATTTAGATTTTTAGACATTTCTAAATTATGTGGAAAATAAAATGGGTGTTAACAATTTTAGAAGTCAAAGGAATTGCCCCACACTTTCTCATTTTAATAATTTTGGAACAGGTAATCGCAATTGCAAGCTCTGCACTTGATGTTTTTAAAGGCAAAGCAAAGCAAATGGTAGTTGACCTAGTAGATATGGAGCGTGCCTTTGTTCCACCACAACACTTTATTCGTTTGGTGCAGAGACGGTATGTTCATGACATCAATATCAGTTTCATTCTAATGACTGTCTAAACATAATGTTGAGAATAGTGTCTGGGCAATAAAGGCCCACTTCTTTATATGGAGGTTGGGAGGAAGGGGAAGTAAGGGGAGAAAGCACTGAAATACAACCCTTGGATGAGATAGCTTGGCTGTATATTGTTATTTCATTGCTAGGCTCTATAGGCTATAGCTATGGGCACAAACTATGAGTAAAAATGTTCAGTGTTGAATCCTTTATTATTATTATTATTATTATTTTTTATTTTATTTTCTTTGATTTTACAAATTGTGTGGTATGACTCATATGCATGGTTTTGAAAGAGAACTTCAAGCTATGATATGACCATCTTTATCTGACCAAGTGCTAAGGCCTTTAATACCTTCACTATTGAATTTCTCTTGAAGCTATCAAATTGTGTAGGGTCTATAGATTTCCACTAGTTAATCACTGTTCGTATGGGTGGATAGCTTTTAGCTGATAAGTGATTTGCTCTGTACCCTATCCAGATGTTACTTTCATAACCATTTACATGAATTCAGGCTAAGATTTACTAATGACCTTATTATAATTTGAATGTAGTTCTGGTCACTAAAGTTAAGCTGATATTTGCATCCACACATTTTAGTCTATCTTGACCCATTATTTCTTTGATTCTTTTGAGCTGCTAGGATGGAGAGGCAAAGACGTGAAGAGGAGGTAAAGAGTAGATCTTCCAAGAAAGGGTCGGATGCAGAGCAATCAATGTTGAATAGGGTAGGAACTCTATCTGGTTTGATTTATTTTTTTGTTTTGTGTTTTATTTATTTATTTTTAAATTTTCATGATGTTTGAGCACAGATACATGGTTTGTTAATTTTAGTGTGCCAATTTTTGCCTTAACATTCTGAAGTCTTTTCTTATTTAGGCAACAAGTCCTCAGACAAGCAGCCAACAAAGTGGGAACTCTAAATCATTGAAGGATTCAAAATCTGATAAAGAGAAAGACAAAGACAAAGACAAAGAGGGACAAGAGGGTTCTGGTGTGAAGACTGCTGGGCCCGAGGGAGAGATAACTGCAGGTTTGCCCCGACATTTATTTTTGAATAAACTTGATTAGCATGAGTTCTTGGGGTGTTCACTGCACCTTATATTTGTTGAACTGAATTTTTTTTGCTTTACTTAAATTATTCTTACAGAACTGAAATTAATTTTTACTGAACTGAAATTATTTTTGCTGAGATGAAATTATATTTTTCAGATTCTCTATTATATTTCTTCTTTAAAGTTACTGATTTTTATTGAACTGAACTTAATTTTACCTGATATTATTTTTACTGAATATTATTTTGTAAGATTAAATGAACATGGCCTAAGTTTAAAGAACATTAAAGAATGGTACTAGTAGTGTTTAGGGTTTAGGATAAGAACTAAGAAGCAACTGTTTGAGATTAGGAGGTTGGAGTTGGAAAAAGTTAGTACTTGGGGGAAAGCAATGAGTTGTTAATGGAGGTGTGTGGGTGGTTTTGGTGCTTATTTTAGGATTTGATAGATGTGCAGAGAGGCAAGGCAGAAGGAGAAGGTGGAGGATGAGGGGATGATATTAGTTTTGGATTTTGATGTTTCACAAATGTGGTTGGGTGGCAGGGTTGGACAAATGTTTTAGGTGGAGGGAAATTTGGTTCCTTGCATATACTATTTGTTCAAAGGCCTTTAGAGAATAACTTAATTTTTCAAAATACAAATTAATAAATAAAACAGTGTAAGAGGACAGCAAAGTTTATTCTATGTTTGGTTATGTTTAGTTCTGCTTATATAAGCTATTTATGCTTATTTTCATTAATCATTGGGTCAGATCAGACCTAACTCTTTTAATTTGTGTTTACTTATCGCTAAATATCTTTTATTTCATGAATAATAAAAATTGGAAGGTGCGCCATACATGTTAATACAAGTTTAGACATCTTATTTGACAATATTATATTTTAAAAATTAGTTTAAATTATGCTCAAAACTCAAAGTTTAGTCAAATCTGGAAAGTAGATCGTGGCAGAAAAATTCAGATCATGATCACTGAACATAGCCTTAGGCCAATCTAATAGTTGAGTGCTTGGAAGATAAAGACATGTTGAATCAAGTTAGACACTTTTGGGGGATAAAGAAAAAAAAATTCTAAGAATAAGTTCTCTTTTTAAAAAATTAAAACCTTTCTTGAATGCCATACCATTTATACCATTGATCATGAAGAAATTGCGACATCTTCAATAGTTGAATTGTCTTACATGATCATGATACTGTACCCATAGCATGGATGCACTTTATAATGCTTTGGATCATATAATGTGGTACTTAAATTTGATTGAAATATCAGGTTTCTTATTGAAGAAGAGTGCAAAGACTAACAGTTGGAGTAGACGATGGTTTGTGTTGAATGAAAAAACTAAAAAGGTTGGTATATCCTTAACTTCTGTCTTTGTTGCTGTAGTGGTCTCTTGGGCAAAGATTTGGTGGTGCTTTGAAAGTTTTTGTTGGTTGAGTTAGTGTTGTTTTATTAAATCTTTGCTCCTATTTATTTCTCTATGCCATCTTTGCTCCTAGTTACTTTCTACTTATTTTTGGCTGAGTAATTAACCTTTCTCTAACTTATAAGCAAAAATATCTTTTTTTTTTTTTTTTTTTTTTTTGTTGTTTTCATGGAAATAATCCTTTCTATATTTAAAGTAACCTTGTGATGCTAAATGTAATTTGGTTTTCCAGTTCTGGCAAATATTTAATGTACTTTATTTTTGTATCTGAAGTAGCTCTTTTCTAGCTTATAGGAAAATGTAACATCTTTTGTTTTCATTTAATGTGACCCTATTTCTGTTTAAAGCGCCCATTTTCTGGGGTATAAACATTAACATATATTTCCATAAATGTAATTCGTTGTAAGTTGGAATTTATCCTTTATTCAGTATATGTGATCTTGTTTACAGCTTTTAGTAGTAGGATAATTTTGGTGAATCTTGAGTGTTGAGTCTTGATTGCATACATAGGCACACTAAAGTAAAATGTTAATTCAATGAATGGGCTGATTGATATTTTATGTCTATTTCTTGCAGCTTGGATACACAAAGAAACAAGAAGAAAGACATTTTCGCGGTGTGATCACTTTGGAGGTAAAAGAAGCACTGATATGATTATTATGAACTGTTAGTATTTTTTGTACTCATGGCTAGGAATCTGCTGTTGAATTTTTGTGGTAGTCTCCGGGCTATTTTTTTTTTTTTTGCCTAATAGCTCCTGCATGGAAAGTCTTAAACATTTAAAGGCCTTAGAAATGATTATATATACTGAAATGCCATAGTTTCATGTCATATCTTTTCGTGGATGTTAGGTTTATCATTGGGTAATATGTATAGGATCAGGCACTACACTCATGGTTTGAGATAAGTCATACTCAATAGAATTAGCTGCTGACTTTATATATATATATATATATATATATGTATCACCACCAAAATGCTCCAAACTGTTAAACTCACCGCCAAAAGCATTGGAAAGGTTTGAAGTAACTTTTTAAAAGCCATCGACATTAGAACATAGTACATTGTCTTTCCTTAAAGACTCAACTAAAAGTCATAAATTTGTAGATTATACAATTTTTTGGCTATGGCGGTTGTTGTTGGAACAATGGTTGTTGATGGGGGAAAGGGGTTGATCCGTTGATGTGGCAGGTTAGTGGAATTCATGGAATTCAAAGGTAGCTAATTTACATGGGTTTAGTTACATAACTTAGGTTGAGACATTTAGTGTTGGAAATGAAGGCAATATGGCACTATTATTGAAAGCATAAAAAACTGTGCATACAATGTTTCACTTTAAAAATTAATTCATCGCCCGAACCCAATACTTCGAGGATTTTGAGAGTGGGGCATCTAGGCGACATAATTGCAAAAATATTGAACCAAACACATGGTATGGGTAATTGGGTATAGAAGAATCCAAACCTATATTAAAGATATTAAGTCATTAAGGGGTGTTTGGTTCACATAAATAACTTATGAGCTTCATATGGCTAAATCCCATACCTAGCATTTGCCTATAAAATTTCAATTTATGAAATTGATGTATTATATCAAGATGCAAATTGTATTTTCGATATAAAATAATAAGGATAAAAGAATTAAAAGTAAAGACAATAACAACGATGAGGGTGAGTTAAAGTAGTACTAGAAACTAGAATCAAGACACCTTCATAAATGGAGGTAATAAGATGTCCGAAATGCATTGACGCTGCTACTAATGCTTTCTAGAGCACCCACATCTACCAAACAAACAGGCCAAAAGGCTGCAATTACTATATATATAATAAAACGCAAAGAAAGAAGGAAAATAATAGCTTTCAAATTAGAGGGTACATTAAGCTTCAATTAAATTGGCTTGAGTAATTTCATTAGAGGATGTAGAGACCATCACTAAGCAATTTTGTTTCCAAGAGGAGCTTCTAACTGGAACACCTGCAACAAGAAAGACATGAAAATTCCAAGTGTAATTATAAAACTTCTCAAATTGACTCAAGGGGTTTAATTTATCAAAATTATTCAAACAAATTACTAGCAAAAATTGTAATTAAGTGCAAATAAAAAGCTATAGCTGCCACAGTAGTTAATTAATATTTTACAAAAAATGCAAAGATGAGATACAATCTTCTTTCTCACATGGCAACATACTGTTAAATCTAGAATATGTCTATATAATATCATTTAAGCCAGCAGAATCACATTTGCTTGATCTCTTGCCACCAGCCCATCAAATGATAAATTGCTAATGACTTTTCAGGAGTGTCAAATTGAAGAAATTTCTGACGAGGAAGATGCACCCCCCAAAAGTTCCAAGGATAAAAAGTCTAATGGTCCTGATAAAGGTCCCAGCCTAACATTTAAGTTGACTAGCAAAGTACCATACAAGACTGTTCTTAAAGGTTTGGAAAGCATAGTATGTTTGTTTTCAAATTTGGTTCATCGATCAAGTTTGGCTCTATAAGAATCTGTTCCTTTGCTGTGCAGCACATAGTGCTGTGTTGTTGAAAGCTGAGAGTGTGGCTGACAAGGTTGAGTGGTTGAACAAGCTGAAGAATATTGCAGTACTTAAAAGTGGTCAAGGAATTGGTGAACCTGGACTACAGATGCGTCAAAGTCATTCTGATGGTTCCCTAGTAAGTTCCACTCTCCATTTTATCTTCCTTTTCTTATATTGGTCATCTGGGCTTTGTGGGTGGGTTTGGGGGGGGGGGGGGTTTGCATTTTACAGGCTGGTGGTTTAACTTTTATTTCACTGGAAATCCTTGCAAATCATATGTTCAGAAAATTTGACACTTGTTAGAGCTTTAGGTTTTGTTAGGCTGCCTTATTCTTTTTATGAATAATTGTATTGCAAATAAAGGAATCGCTACTATTCACCTAAGAAAGTGACCATCAGTGCACTTATGAACTATGCTGGGAGAGAGGGAAGTAAAAAGGGTAATTCAAAATCAGAAGGATTTGTTGTGAAGAAGCTTATTCATCTCTGGGAAGTTGTATTGATGAAGCATTTAAGCCTTACTCAGTAAGGTGACGTTATTCACCCTATTTCTCTTGTTTACGCGTGACGGAGCTGTGATACTTCATGATAAACAGTGACAGAATGAATGAGATGTGTATGCAACTTGGGATTCTCCCCCATTTTCCTTGGATAGAACAGTTTTTGGCCATTCTCTATGAGTAGTTTTAAGAAAAATATTACAGTTTTTGGCTGCTTGCTGCAGTAATTGGATTGTATAAACTTTGTTGATTCATACAATGGTATAGGACACAATGGCAAGAAGACCTGCAGATCCTGAAGAGGAGCTTCGCTGGATGTCTCAGGAAGTGCGTGGATATGTCGAAGCTGTTCTAAACAGCCTTGCTGCAAATGTGCCAAAAGTCAGAATTCATCCCTCGTTTTCACTTAACTTACACCCTGACATGTTTTCATCCCCTCTTATTGACTTTTTGGCTATTGAACAGGCTGTTGTTCTTTGCCAAGTGGAGAAAGCCAAAGAGGACATGCTTAATCAATTGTATAGTTCCATAAGGTTAGGGCCTACTTCGTGGTTTCTTATATACATCCTCTGGTTTTTATTTATTACTTGCTACACTTCTCATTTCATGTTTGCCAATGCCTAATTTCAATCACTAATATATCTAATTACCAATACGTAAATATTATAAAATTTGATATTATTAAAGTATGAATTGAGATGAATCAAACAAGATCCCACATGACTATATTTTTCTTAACTACTTCATTCTTTTTAGTTGCACCACTTTCCTAAAACGGAAGTTTCAAATTAGCTGCATCACTTTTTTTTAGTCAATAGACACACACTCTCTCTCTCTCCCATCGCATGGGTTCATTCTTTTTATTCTCTCTCTCTCTCCAATAATTTCCCAGGAGGCCGCAATCTGCAAAGTGATGTAGCTTAAAAAAAACAGAGGAGGTATAAATTATCAAAGCTAGTCAAAGTGGGATATATGAACAGTGTGAAAGTAAAACTATTGGAAGTATAAAAAAAAGAAGAAAAAAAAAGATGTAATATTTTGCCTTTAGTGTTTATTAAAATCTAAATAATCTGACTTGTGATTTCTGTTGAGTGATAGCTGTTGAAAATTTTACTTGAGTATAAATTGGAGATGATTAAATGAAGATGTGTGAGCATTTCTATTAATGGCTAAGATACCCGGCTTTATTTGAGACCCAAATAAAGGATGGTTTAGTATACCAAACATTTATTAATGGCTAAGATACCTGGCACTGTAAGGCTTATTCTTGTCGGATAAGTTGAAATCTCAAACTCCTTCCGCCTCAAAATGTTACTACTCCCTCCATGTTTTTTTAAGTGTTACAGTTTGACCGGCATATAGTCTTAGGCAATTTAATTGACTTTAATGAAATAAGAGGTAAGTGTGGTAGTTGGAGTATTAAAAAATTGTAAAAGAAAGATGGTGGTGGGGTTAATAGTTTATTGAAAAGTTATGAATGTGAGAGGAGAGATGTAATAAAAAAAATAGTAGTGGGTTTGGGTGGGGAACATGAGAAAAGAGATATATAATATTTTAATGTAGTTTTTTGCCAAAAAAAGGAAGTGTTAACACTTATTAAAACATGGCCGGATTTGGTAAGTGTAACACTTAAAAAAACACGGAGGGAGTACTTTCACGGTGATCGTCTCGGAAAAAAAATTCTAAATAAGAACCCTTTTATTATTTTTTTATTTTTATTTTTTTAATAATAGATAGTGGAGTATGAATTGTAATATAACCTGGAAAATAAAGACAATGTAGTGGATCAGCTCTGATTGGGTATGAATTTCGTATTATGGTGGACAATGGTGACATTTTTTAGAGGATTCTTGTGCTCTTAAAGAATATTAATGCCCATCTAATAGATGTTCTCTAGACTACTACGATAGAACAGTTGGTTGCTTAGGTATATAGGTTCTGTGGAGCCTGGGCATCATGATAATGTACAATGACCAGATACTGTCATAAAAGATTTACCTTGAATTAGGATTTGGAATATAACAGGATACACTTGTTTTTATTTTTATTTATTTTATTTTTTGTATTTTTTTTTAAATTGGGCCTGAATTCATTTTTTTACGTGAAAAATACAAGTGTGTAGGTTCAATTCTATTAAAGTTAGGGTTGTTTTTACAAACTTGTCATTTTTAAAAAATTTCTTGTAGTTTTGAATTATCGCTAAAGAATTATAATTTTTTATTTTTAGTAAAATTTGTCTAGAAGGGACATATATGTTCACTATTTTGTTTGGAAGAACCTTATATGTTTAAAGTGGTCTAAAAGGACCTTTTAAGTTGATTGTGTTGTTTGGGGGGACCTTGAGGTTGGAATCCAACAATAATTGACTTTTTTTTTCGGACATTGACCTCTTATGTGACCTTAAAAAAAGACCCCATTTTCTTTTTTTCCATGATTTCCCTCAAATTCCCTTATTTTGATTTGTGTCATTTGGGGATTAAAAGAGAGAGGAAGGAATTGGACGTGGACAAAAAAATAAAAGGGGGTCATTTTTTAAGGTCACGTGAGAGGTCGGAGAAAGAAGTCAATTATTGTTGGATTCCGATCTCAAGGTTCCCCAAACAACAACACTTCTAAGGTCCTTCCACACAAAATTGTGAACATATTGTCCCTTCCAGACAAAATTTCCTTATTTTTATAAAACAATGATTGACTTACGAGAGAAATAGTGAACCATAGGTCCCTTTGTTGATCTTTTGGGTAAGAAAGATAAGTTGTTTTGAGACATGCATACTATTATAACTTTATAAGTGGACCTATGTTTAGAGAAATGAGTATGATGATAACTTTTTTGTGTCATAAAAGAAAGGAATAAAGAAAAAATAACAAAAATGGAAAGTAGAAAAAATGAATAAATGAATGTACAGCAAATTTGGATGGTTAGTGCTAAAATTTATATTCATACGTTCTTTCTCATTTAACTCATTAAATCGTTGTTTATGTTTGTTTGCGGTTATATCTATTACATACCTTCCCCATATTCTTTATATCTTTTATGGGTTTGTATTAAAAATGCTCTACTCACAGTGGCCAGAGCTCTACAAAGATTGAAGAACTCCTTCAAGAAGACCAAAATGTGAAGCGTAAAAGAGAACGTTACACAAAGCAGTCAACTATTCTATCAAAACTTGTGAGGCAACTAAGCATCCATGATAACCGGTCAGATGGGTGGTCTGATGGTGGTAGTGGTGCAGGTAATTCATGAGTTTCTTTTATGATAGTATATTAGTTTCCAACATACTGCATCCTCTTTCCTATAAATTCTGTCTGTTGGAAACTTGGGAAGCTCAAAAAACCAAATCAACGAGCTGTTCTACACTCTAATTACTTGCAAGCTTGCCAAATATGTATATCAGGAAGCTATTAAAAAACACATCAATGAGGTATTCTATAGTCTAATTATAACTAAATATGGATTGAAAATTGTATCTTGAACTTTTACTTCCTCACATAATTTAGAAAAGTTCCAAAATTGTGATAAACCCATATGTGAAATCATGATGGGTTGGGTACTTGGGTTAGGTGTGGATACCTCCCCCACCTGCCCTAATTTTGGGTAAGTGGATGGTGGGGTGGTGGATAGCGCTTGTGCCATACCCAACCTGGCCCATACCATACACACTTTTAAATTAGATTCCATTTTGCAAGTACTTGTAGTCATACTCAGATCTATGTTTCTATTGAAAGTCCCATGGCGAAGATCTTAATATGTTTAACACAAAACTTGCATTGTCATAGAATAATCAATTATCGAGCCCCTTTTAATCAAACCAAAATAAACTTCCCCATACCTGGAGTATATTTATTCTTTACGTGAACTGAAATTGATCTTTTAAACCAAACTGATCCTAAAGTTTTGTTTTGACGAATAATTTTTGTTGTGAAGTATAATTATTGGTTTTGACGAATATTTAGTTCATCTGACTTCACCGAAGTTGACCTGAATCAAACAAACTCATCAATTATCGATTAAGATCCAACTCAACTTGATTTGAGAAATCAGTTTTTCCACGCTCAATTTGAATGGTTTTGCAGTTGCAAACTTTTCTATTAGGCGTATCTGCGTATACTGTGATATAATCTGAAACATGTCTGTGGGAAGGTTCTAACTCAACTGTCCCATACTGTTATGGTTAAATAACTTAAATTTGATTGCACAACCTTGGAAAACTTCGTCATTATTGGATTGTGCATTTTGCCTGCCACAGCCCCCATGACATGTTTCTTGAACATTTGTTATTGTGATAAATTGTTGCACGTTGCCTTCAGGCTTTAAGAATACGTTACTCAAGTTTTTGTTTTACAATTCTGCAGAAAGCAGCCCCAGAACAGGGGGCTCAGGGGCTGGGGAAGATTGGAGAAGTGCATTTGATGCTGCTGCTAATGGACCGTCAGATTTCTCTAGGACACACAGTCGGCGGTACAGTGATCCAGCCCAAAATGGTGATCTAAATGGCGGATCTGGCTCAAGCTCAAACAGTCGTCGCACGCCAACACGATTGCCCCCTGCCCCACCTTCATCTGGTAGATACTAGATGTATGGGACATGAAAGTAGACGGAGTTTGTGATGACTAATATTATGATTCGTGTAATTCTTGTTGGGGTGGGTGTTTTTATCTTGCTCCCTGATGTTGAGCATTTCTTCTGCTCTCCTTACATGTTATAATAGTTTTGTAGATTGGGAGAAAAAAGAATAGGTGATTCATGTAGATAGATATTGGGCGGTGTTCCTTTTTATCATTGATGACTGAATTTTGAGATGTATTAAATTTTCCTTCCCTTTTCTTGGTGAAATGACGTCTTTGCACGATGATTGTAAAGCTTCTTTGCGCGAGATTTAAGAAATTACAATTATAACGATTTCTTCATTCTAAATTGTCGATTGGGATAGATGTAAGGATTTGCCAAAAAAATTAATAAAATGTTAGTACTGAAACAGGTGAGGTGAAGAAAGAAGAGAGGAGCAAAAATAACAGGCAAAATTTTTGTAGGCTGACATTTCGTGATCAGCATGGGAAAAAAAGTTGGAATGTCTTGGCTTGTTCGTTTGACAAAATTTACACATTTATTGATGTTGATTGGGAAGGAAGTGTTCATGATACATTGATGTAAAAAGATCGAAAGACAGTTTGGGTGATTCAAAATTTAATTTCCTTCATCCACCTTCGGGTAGACTGTAATTTTTCAATTACGTATTAAATACATATTTTTATTTATTATGTGTCAAATATTCTAAACTATATATTTCAAGAAAATATTATTTAGTGGACTCGACATATCCAAATACTGATATATGATGCCGTACTACAGGGGAGTAAGAGTACATATGTCTGATTTTAGAACAATGCCACCTAGAGGATTAAAAAAAAACATTTTAATAAGCTTCATTCATCGTTAAGAATGAAGGTGGAATGTTCATTTGGACAGTTGAAAAAATGTGGAGGATATTACATAACATGCCACAAAAGAGTCAAATGTCAATCATTGTAGCTAGCCACTTGCACACTACATAATTTTATTCGAATGCATAAGCTTGGCATACCAATCATTCAACATGATGCAAGTATAGGAGTAGCAAATTCAACTATGTATGCACAATGGCGTAAAGATAGTATGGCCAGAGTGCGACATCGTGTAGCATGTCGAATTTGGAGGGCTAATCGCTCGGAAAGCGACAATGAAGGTGATGACAATGAAGACCAGATGACAGTGAAGATGATGAAAATGAAGATCTTATGGAAGTTGATGGTTAATTCACCACAATGTTAAACTCTAATATAATTATGTTTTATTGTTGACATTGTCTTTTATCTATTTACTATTAACATATGTTACAGATGGTACGCATCTATTTATGTTTTCATTCACCTAAATCAATAATAATAATAATAATAATAATAATAATAATAATAATAATAATAATAATAATAATAATAATAATAATAATAATAATAATAATAATAATAATAGCGGAATTCTGGTGCAGTTTGGTGGTCTGTTTGGGTTCTATTCGGGTGCAGTTTTTTTTAGTCGGTTTTGAAGTAGTTTTCTGGTCGGTTGTAGTCCAGTTTTGGGGTGGTTTAGGTGTAATTTTCAAGCTTATTCCGCAACCATTTACAGCAAGTTTCGAGCTCGGTTTCCCAACTACTTTTCTGGCTTTTATCTCGGCATTTTGGAGTGTTTTTGGTCCAGCATTTGATAAGTTCCGGAGAGTATTTTGGTGCAGTTTTGTTACAAGCTTGGGACGATTCTGGTGCATTTTCTTGTGCATTTTGGGGCAGTTTTCTGGTAGGTTTTTGGGCCATTTGGGTGCAGTTATTTGGCTGGTTTTCTTGTGCTTTTGGGTGCTATTTTTGCAGTGGATATTGTTGTTGGTTGTGTGTAGCCATGTCGGCTATCGTAGTGAAGTTTCATTGTCCCTTTGTGGGTCTTAGTGGTTATCAAGATGGAAGTGGAAATGGCCTTACTCGACGTTCTCTAATCAGGCATCTTAGTGATCGTCATTGTTGTATAGGTGCGCGAGATATAACCCGACATTCTCTTACTTCTAACTTGGCTGTTTATACTGAGTTAGAAGTTGCTTTTAGGCGTATGGGGATTTGGTTATGTTGAGTTTGCTTCAAAACGCACACGGTTCGTTCTAAGTGTCATCATGGTAGGGGGGTGAGGATGTGTCACCTTCTGATGAAGGAGATGGTATTGTTCGTTTTGTGCTTTATAATTTCCCCAAGCCACAAGATCCCTCTTCTCTGGCTCATATTGGACATATGGATGGTTTGGCGCGAGATCAGTTCTGTGGTTTTGATGTGGCTCTCCTTAATTGTTTGTTCTCAAAGGGGTTTCGCACTGTGAAGTCTATCCCTCCCAAGTGTTGTTTGGGGTTTTCTCGGGTTTTGAAAGGTGTTCTTGATTATGTGATCTCTAAGCCTAATGACATTTCTAGTTGGGTCTCGTTATTGGTGTTACCTCTTTGCACCCTTAAAACCTTTCGCCTTCGCAGTAGTCGTGAGTCTAGGTCTTCCGTAAAGCGTCGGCATCAAGAGGAGAGTATTTCTCGTGCTATATGCTCTTGGAGTTCACCAGGTGGTTGTGAGCAGCTTGTGAAGAAAACTTTGGCAGAGGATTCTCCTACTTTGTCGGTGGTTGATGATGAGGACCTTGATTTATATGAGCGTAATATCAAGCAATGTCGTAGAAAGATTTGTGATGGTCATTACACAGCTGCAGTCCGGGTTCTTTCTTCTTCGGGGGTTGCTCTGTATAACGAGGCCACTCTTGCAGATTTACAATCAAAACACCCTTCTTTTCCAGCTCCATCCTTGCCTACTGATATACTTGTTGATCAACTTTATCTCGTTGCTACTTCTGATGTTGTTTTGGATCGGATTAAGGGTTTTCCGCGTGGTACTTCATGTGGTAGGTGATTAGGGGATTTTTATCCACCAATCAGCATCCGACACGTGGGCCAGCCAGGTTTCTCCACGTGTCCTTCATGTAGGCCAATAGGAGCCTTCCACGTGTCATCAAGAGATTCGTCCTCCTTGGACCAATTACAATGTGACACGTGTCCACCCATGCCAAATGGGAAAACTGGCCAGCAAGGCCCAATCATTGTGGGAGGCCCAGTCAGCCTTAGGTTTAACCTAAACCTAGTACTGGCACGCATCCCAAGGCATATAAATATGCCCATTAATCCTCATTAAGGGGGATTACGCACATTTAACACTCTCACCTAGAGAGACTCAATTACTTTTACTTCCGCATTAGTTACTCCTTAATTAAGTACTAACTTGACCGTCGGAGGCGGATCTCTAATCGTCCGGAGCATCCGTTTTTTTTGCAGGTACAGGCGTCCGGTTCCAGTCTCGGAATTGTAACTCTTCCGCAGGACATCAGAAAACCCCGAAACATTTTGGCACCGTCTGTGGGGAGAGTACTTCTGAGATGGCATCCACGTCTGTACCGACTCCTGAAGAGAGGCGTCCCCTGGACGACCCTCAAGTTCAGTCGGACCATGATACTGAGGAAGAATTTGAGGTTGAAGCTCACACAGTTTCAGACGGGACCCTAAGGGCCCGACGCACCCGTCATACCGAAAGGAGGGAACGGGAACATCTTCAAACTAGACTCAGTGATCCAGCCGGCGCACCGCCTGTTCAGCAGCAGCCGGCTGATGGGTCTGCTCCCATTACAAGAAACGAACTCATGACCTTCATGAGAGGCTTCAAGGGAGAGATTCAAGAGTTGCTCAACAAGAAGCCGCCTGCTCTGGCCAAGGAGCAGTCGGCTAAGAAACCTTCCTCTTCAGGGAGGAGGAAGCCTGTTCGAGGGCGAGAGGCGACCCCTCATCCTAACTCTAGGAAGTGGGAGCCGCCTGTCCTTGATTTCACAAAGTACCGCTTTCCTACTCCAGGAAAGAGGAAACCTGTTCGTCATATTCAGGCGGACGGGTCGAAGAAAACATACACAGATGCTCGGCTATTGCTAGAGCAGAAGAAGAATGACCGATTGTCAGAGTCGACCTCTACTTTAGACTTCCAAGACAGTCTACGCAATACCTCGCTGAGGCATACTCAGTCGCATCATGAGAGTCAGTCAGGCGGTACCTCCCGTCAGTCCGGCTTTCATAGTGACCAGGCGGTACCAAACTTACTATTTGTACCGCAACAACAATATTTTTTGCAGCCACCTCTGTTTGGTGGGCATGCAACAAAGAATGTCCAACCTATGGGCTGGCAGCTACGGTTGCTTAGACTTGGGGAACAGCCGTCGGCCTTCTCCAAGGAAATTGTTGATGCCGCTCAGCCGGCCAAAGTGAAAAATGTATTAGTAGGCGCCTATGACGGCACTACTAACCTAGAAGACCATTTGATGGCATTCACCAACCTGATGTACCTTCAAGGGTACCAAACTTACTATTTGTACCGCAACAACAATATTTTTTGCAGCCACCTCTGTTTGGTGGGCATGCAACAAAGAATGTCCAACCTATGGGCTGGCAGCTACGGTTGCTTAGACTTGGGGAACAGCCGTCGGCCTTCTCCAAGGAAATTGTTGATGCCGCTTCAGGCGGTACCAAACTTACTATTTGTACCGCAACAACAATATTTTTTGCAGCCACCTCTGTTTGGTGGGCATGCAACAAAGAATGTCCAACCTATGGGCTGGCAGCTACGGTTGCTTAGACTTGGGGAACAGCCGTCGGCCTTCTCCAAGGAAATTGTTGATGCCGCTCAGCCGGCCAAAGTGAAAAATGTATTAGTAGGCGCCTATGACGGCACTACTAACCTAGAAGACCATTTGATGGCATTCACCAACCTGATGTACCTTCAAGGGTTGGATGATACAACAATGGTTCGGCAACCTGCCGACTGGTTGTGTGAATGACTTCAGGACGCTTGCTTACTTATTCACCTCCAACTTTGCCATGAACATACCTGCGAAGAAGACAACCCTTGATTTAGGAACGATTCAGCAGGGCGAGAAGGAGGGGCTTCGTTCTTACATCAGGCGGTTTAACCTGATGAGAATACAGATTCAAGGGTTACCGGATGAGGTAGCCTATACTGACTTTTTCAGAGGCCTCAAAGACGGATCGACATTCAAATTTGATTTGGTTCGAAAGAGGGTGGCGACTCTTCAAGAGGCCTTGGTTGAAGCGGAAGCCTATATACAGGCGACTGATCTTTGTAGTACAGGAAAACAGTCAGACGGGAAAAGGTTCGACAAAAGAGAAGGACGACAGAAATAGTCGTCGAACAAAGATGAGAAGAAGAGAAAAGAGGTCTAGGCGGCTGATTCCTCTAAACAGCCGGCCCAGAAGAAGAAGAAAGAATTCAAACCATACTCCCCAAAGTATGCGTTTAAC